CCAAAAGTCAGTCAAGTCTTTGACAGCTGGGAATAAATTTGAATTTAGAAGGTATATACAAAAATAAACTTCACACCTGCTCAGAATGACCCAAAAAGATGATACAAACAAAAGTTGACACAGGCTAGACATGGGTCTTCTTAATAACAAAGTTATAAGGGTTCTAAACAAGGAATAAGGGATGACCCTGATACAGAGGATGAAGTAGAGAAGGAATTACTTCCTCCAAATCCAAATATGCCGACTGATGACGATGTTTTTAGTCTAAAAAAGTAGTACGAGAAATAACAAACTTTATCAAAAGCGACTCGAATATTTACGCTTGTATTCAACTAGTTTCTTTCCTGAAAGCAAGTTTTAAAAGTTCATTAAGCAAACCAGGGTTTAAAAAATGAAGACAACTCTCTTTTTTTCAAAATTATAGACCTGTGTCTTTCCTGTCTTGTTTTTTTAAAAGTACCTAAAGAAAATTAATGCATAAAAGATTAACGGATCAAATTCCATGTTTTTTATGACAAAAAATATAATTATATATACTTAGAAAAATAAAATTTTGACGTAGATGATCAAATTTTAACCGAAAACGAAGTTAATAGAAAATATACTTACTGAGGGATTTCCTAGACGTATCGAGAGCCTATGAAACATTGATCACTCCATTGCAATATTAATATTAGATAAGAATAATCACACTAAAATGGCATGAAAATTTACAACTATTAATTGAATATCATAGCAAAATTCAAGAAAAACCGATTTAAAAAAATTGGCGTACCTCATGGATTGTTTTTGAACCCAATCCTTCTTTTTTTCTATTGAATGTAAATGAAAAATATTGTCTATTTTTCTTTTCACTGATCGATTAAACCACGGATATATAAATCTTGACAACTGGTATAAAGCAACCTGACACTTTTGCCCACTTACTCATTGAGAACTCTGTATTATTCAGTCAATTCATTCTCACATATGTAAGTTATGGAAATATATAATTTGAGAAATACATACCTTGGTTATTCATCTTGAGCTAGTCATATCCACGGGAGATGAACATCGCTTGAAGGTGAAGGTCGGAATTTCAAAGACGCACACGTAAGATCTGGCAAGGTAGACACCTTGCGGTCCCGCCTATCGTTTGAGTTTAACTTTGATAAAGCTTCGCTGAGCAGATTTGAATAAGTAGCCCAAAAACAAAGGGAATGAGTAGAAAGCAGAAAGCTTCTGTCTTCTGGACCCAATTCCTGAAAGGCCGAGCGCTAAAAAGCGCTAAAAATTTTATTCCATTTGTGTACCTTCCTATTGTATTGCTTAGAGTACCATTTTGTGCTATCATTACTGTATCTCGGAGTAAAGGTACAATAGTGTTTTCTCAGGTCGACACTGAGTTACATGTCTTTAGACAGGAAAACCTTGTTTAAAATTTGGCTTAAATTCTGGGTTAAACTTAACCATCTCTAGAGGAACCGGGCCATGGAATCAATGCCCAGCATGAGTAGACTGATGAAAATAATACACGTTGAAGAGGGAAGTCAGCGAGAAAAAAAAAAGAAATCTCCAATAAACATGATAATAGTCTTAGCTGCTTTCATATTTCCTAAATAAGCCTCATTATTTTCTTTTCTTTTACGCTTAAAAACTGTGCCATGAATAGCGATATTGAGAGGTGATATATAAACAGCAGAAGAGATGAACTCGACATCCACATACCAAAAAGTATTTTGTTATATAACAGTTAGTGGTATACCGAGGGGTAGCAAATTGATAAATGCGCTATCCTGCCAGTGATGATATCACTTGTATCCACACATGTGTGATATCATTTTTCTCCAATCAGTTCACAGTATTTTAGCGCGCTGTCAAGCACTTGTGGTTGTCGTCGTTTGGTCTTTTCGGAATTTCTACTTTGGTCTTTTTGTGAGTCGAAGTTAGATTTTAAGTTTGTTGTAAAATAGAGACAAGCACGTTTGTCGAGATCACAGATAAGGAACTGATTGAATTCGTAGAAGATAGAGAAAATCCTAATACAAAAAGGAAGACCACGTACGAAGTCTAGTTATTCAGAACAATTTCATTCAAACATCAGACTCTGACTTGCTTGGTTCAACAACTCTTCATGAGCTTTCATCACAAGTTCTGAACGACCGCCTTTCGAAATTCATCTTTAATTAACTTTAGAAAAAAAGATGGCTCCGACTAAGAACTCCCAAGTTTGAGACGATTACTTTCAAGCATCCAGAGATATCTGTATACAGAGAACTACAGCTTCACATTTACTGACGTTGTGTTTAAAACTACTGACAATGGTTACCCTCAAAGCAAAACAAAAGAAACTAAAAGCCAGTGGACTGGGAAACAAGCCTAGGACATTGGATAGCCTAAAAGACGAGGAAGTTGAGAAACACTTTTTGGCCAAATTCGACCTTTACATTTCGGCCAAGCAAACGAAATAGAGTAGTTGCTGTATTGCGAGGATTTTGCTAGTATAGTAATAAAAGGAAATTACATGGTCGCGGGGAGATAAACAATTTCTCTTCTCATGTTGAAAATATTTCAACACTTGAGGAGAAATTTCTTATCTCCTCGCAGCAATGTAATTTTCTTTTTATTATGTAAAATCCTCGCAATACAACAAAGGTCAAACAAATATTCTATTTCGTCGGGTGTTTGCTTGGGTCTGACATCTCCCCAGCGTCAGTTTGCCGCCGCTGCGAAGGCCGAAATGTGAAGGACGAAGTTGGCCAAAACGAGACGAGTATTTTACCTAATATCCAGAGAACGAAAGCTGGGCACAAAACTCTTTTGAATTTATGATGTTAAATGCTTCTTTTTAGCTTTCAAGTTTATTAATAAAATAATAATAAGCATTGGAATAATATTAACGGAGTGGGAAGAGTTTTCTTAGGGGAACGAAAAGCCATGCTCATATTCAGAGAAGTTAAATGAAAAAGTGGGTAATGATGAATATAAAAGGAAAAGTGCATTACTACACTGTATTCACTTGGCATGAAAATTGAAATTCATTTTCATATCAATAGCTTTGCACCAGGAGCCATAATCGGGATAGGAGACCCGCAAGCGCCCGGTCCACGCAGTTCCATCTAAATAGCTACCATCAATGTCACAAACTTCGCGGATCTCGTGTGGAATTTCAGGAGATGGGTGATCGTTTTGCGACTTGATTTGAGTGCTCTCTGAACTTTCCAAGTGCTTCATTTCTTGATAGACAATGCATGCACAGAGGAAGAATGTGCCAATGTTATTAAAACAGTATTATATAATTTTGTTTATCGCAATAACCTCGCGAAGCTGTAATGGGCCAGCAGTAAGAATAAAGTTAACCAAGCCATGGGGAAAAATGGTTAAAAACAAAAACAAAAACAAAAAATATATACAGCAAAGAAAAAACAGCTTAGCCAAGGGTCGAACCTATTCCATTTACACGGAAGGACGTCATCTGCTAAACCACTGCGCCACACTGCAAGAATAAAGTTAGGTGGAAAATTATTATTCAAAGTATTATTTTCGTGAAATTTTGCCAACAGACGCTGTTTGAAGCTGTTGTAGCTGTATTTATCATGAATTCAAAGACAAATTTGACGAAAATTAGTTATAATTATTTTTTGTTGTTGCTGTTAACTTTCCGCCCCCCTTTTGCCCCAAAGATGTTTTTGTTTGTCTCATCCGAACGGGATGTTCATCGCACGACATCTCCGACATCTATTCGTCGCTGGAATTGTCAAAAACACTCTCACTACGGTGTTTTCCATAAGCAGAATCACATTCACAGTCGTCAAATTAAGTGTTTACAAAGAGGTTCGCCTCAAGGTCTTGCCTCAAATTCAGAGCCGCAGGCAATGATGACAGAAATGGAATTTATCCATCTCCTACGGAGGTAATTTCTGACGCCATTTTGTTTCTTCATCCTTTGCGCGGCGTCCTCGCAAAAAGTGCGCGCGCGTGTCACACGAGATGGCACAGTCACAGCTTGTGCTAAAAATAGCACATTTGGCTAATTCGATGAACTCAACCCCATTACTGGAAAACATATCCAGTTTCGGTGTAGCCTGCAGTGCAGGCGTATTTTGGGCGGGCGAAAGCTGCTTGTTTATGTTCGTACTGTTGTAACCGCCATCTTTGTTATGACGGAGAAAGATTAGGGAGAGTAAAAATACCCGCTCTTTTTTACTCGCCCCATTTTCTCCCCTCTTTTCGAGTTTCAACAAGCGCTTTCGTGAGCAAAACATTCGCGTGCTCGAAGAAAATGCCTGCACAGCAGGCTAGTTTCGGTGTCCTACCCCGATTATGGCTCTTGCTTTGTACTAACCCTGGCTTTGAAACACGTGTTTGAGCAATTCGCAAATGGCCTATATTTGGAAGACGTTTGCGATTTTCGATGTAATGATGTTTATTGTACGGGCTATCGCCGGGAGAATGGACTGCAACTGAGAGACCATTGGGGACGAGGTTGCGTTAGCTCGGCGATTTTTGTAGAGCTGGAGAATATTGCAGAAGATTTCACACGTTTGTGAAGAGGAAATAGCTGAACTTCTGCCTAAAAACAGGAAGAACAGTAAAAATACAAGTCAAGGGATGACAGCTGCTACTGAACTTCCGTTTGTATCCTGAATTTGCGGAGGAACATACAAATTGAGATGGAAATTTAACATCAATCGAGGCAAGCGTGTTTTGAAGTACAAAATCGTTTTGAATTAAAACGATCATTGGATTCGTCTTTCGTATGATGTGAAGACTGAATTATGCAAAGCTCGGAAGTTGTAATCCACCTCAGACTTCGTTTTTGGAGGATAGCATCCTCCTCAATCAGATCATACTCAGCCTCATCCAATAATTGCTAATTGGCCTGTGGTGACAATGGACATTTCGACGCCGGAACATTGTGCAATTATACTTTTATTTATCTCTATATTATGGCTAAAATTCTTCATTTGTTGTATTGTTACCTTTAGAGTTAATTATTATTCATTCAAAATATTTCCCCAATTCTGATTGGCTAAAAGCACACGCATAATTCACCATAACCAGTTACTGATGACCAAATTTGGAAGAATTGTTGGAAATGACGTCAAAAGTGCAGCCTTCTATAGGTTAATGCACCGTTAACCGAGAAGACCTGGGGACGAGATTGAGTTGTTTTCGTTGTAAAAACTAAACTGGCGGACACTTCACTCGTTTCAAGAGTAAGAACTACAGCTGGACCTAGGCGAAATAATGGCTTAAAACATAACAAAAACAGCAAGAAGACAACTCAGAGGGCGACATCTGCTATTTGGAGAATATTTGCGGAGCTGGACAAACCTAAACGTAAATTATCGAAGATAAACTTAACATCGATGCAGGTAAGCTTGTTTTAGCTATGTTTTTAAACTAGGGATTATTTTGAATGAATAATAAAACAATTATTCAATTCGGCTTTCGTATCATATGAAGAATTATGGAGATCTCGGAGGGTGTTATCCGCCTCGGATAACACCCTCCTCGAGCTCCATAATTCTTCATAAAATACTCAGCCTCATTCATTAATTGTTTTAACAAAAAAAAATATTATGGCAACCCCGTATTTAAATACAATTGACTGATTTAAATATTAATAATTTACATGGTTTTAACATTCGAATGAAGCTACAATGCTGCTTATCCCTTCATCTAAACTTGATGGTAGAGAGCGTTGTACAGTGAAATGCGCCAAGGTTCCCCATAGGATTTACGGGATCCAGGATTTGGCTTTTCGAGATACGGGATTTTAATGAATAAGAGATTTGGTCGTTTAACGATGCTGGTTTAAGGGTATGTTGCGAAAGTATTCGCACAAATTGCTCGCCTTTTTTCCCACCCTATATAACACTTGCCTTTAATTTTGAGTGTACCAACCAATTTACTCCAGCCCTCGCCACAGCTGGTCCTAAGAAGATGAAGGAGCTTCGATTCAGAATCTGTTAGCTTATTTTCAAGGCATATGGGATCTGCCAGGACTACGCTGCTGTATCAAGGCAGGGAACCTTTTTTGTAGGAATGACGAGATTGGAGAATCCTTTTGGGGACCGTCGCTTAGATTTACCTCTGAGATGTGATTAACTAAAAGAATTCAATGGTAAGATCTTTCACACATTCCACGCTAGGGCGCAAAGAGGGTCTGAATGCAGGTGCCTTCAGTTGATAGCGCTAGACACTAAATTTTTTGGCTGAGAGCACTAACAGTAAAAAATTCACCGTAAAAGTAATTTTTTTCCAGAAAGATTAAACAAAAACGGCTCCAGAATGGCCAATATTATTTTGTTTAGTCGGCATAAACAATAAACCCATTTAGACCCACCCCAAAGACAACTAAGCATTGACCTCAAAAAAATTAAAATTTTGTTAGTCATGATTCTGTTTCCGATGCTAACGTCTTTAAGAACTATGGAGTCAGAAGCTCGTAGAGCAGACTGTCTTTTGTCTGCTCAGCTTTCTCGTTTCGTTTTAGCCAACTGTAGGCGAACCACGCTATCTTGTAGATCTGGAAGTTCAGAATGCAAAGTACTAGCTGTTAAAGTAGAGCGACGTCTCAAACTGCGTGGAAATAGAGGTCTAGCTTTCATCGTGAGCAGCAATGCTGAATAGGCGGCCTTGAATCTTTTGTTTCGAAAAGCGAAAAGAAATGGGTTGAGGGCAGAATTAAGGTATCCAAACATCAAAACTAGAACACCAACTTCATTTGGGATTTTAGCTCGGCATGATTGACAGAGATTGGCACTGATGCTAATGGCAGAGTGAGGAACCCAGCAAAAGAAAAACACGGCTACAAAGATGGAGATAGTCTTGGCCGCTCGAATGTTCCTTAAATAGGTTTTCTTTTCTTCAGTAGAACGCGTTTGTCGTGAACAGGCTTCCGTCGTACGCATTTGTCGTGAGATCTCTTTATCAAAAGTGCTGCTTTGAGACCTCGCTATGAGGTAAATCTTAACGTAGATACCGCACGTTACCAGTAGTGGAATAATGAAATTTAGACAAGAGCTGAGAGTGGAATAAATGTCATGAAAAGGAAAGTAACAGATTCCCTCATAAACAAACTCGTCATATGTTCTCCAGCCCAAGACGGGAATTAAAGCAAAAACCAAGCTGTAAAGCCAGATGACAGAAATAATAATTAAAGCTCTCTTTCGTGTCATAAATCGGAAGCGGCGAAATCGATTCAAGGGATCCTTAAGGCTCTTGTAACGATCCACGCTCACAGCCAAAAGGGTCAAAATAGACTGTAAACTGTAATCCACGCCTGGCACATTATTTCTCCTTGCTTCCAAGTCAAGTTAAGGAAAAGGCCTTCTATGTCAAATGGTACCGCTAATGTTGCAGTAAAAAGATCAGAGAACGCCAACGAGAAAATGAACAAATTTGTTGGGCTGCTTCGGAGACTTTTGTTAGTGATTATTGCGTAACAAACTATGAGGTTTCCAAGGACTACCACAGCGACAATTAAGATGTGACACGTCGCCACTGGATACACGAAGGATGGAGGAAACCCGGGTACTGCGTCGGTCCCTGTAGTGGTTGGGTTGGGTTCAGTGTTGTTGTTCATGGTTAGATGACCGTTTCCACGTCGCAAGTGATGATGGCAATAGTTCTTCTTATGACTGGTAGTTGGAGTGTAAGTGGATTATAGCGGAGCTCTGGCGCACGAAGCGCGCCTTCGGAGCACCATGGGTAAGTAAATATACCCATCCGAGAAAATTTGGTAATCACGTGACCGTACACCGCCCGCAGCCCGCCCGTCCGTCTGCACCACAGGAAAACCAATGTTCAATCTCACACTTTCTAGCTAGTTTGGTAGCACAGGAAGACTGATATTGCACGTATATTGTACATCAATGTTGTGATCAATTGACAGCTGTCAAAACAGGGTATCCGCTGACCAGTATCACCTGACCTATCGCGGGCTCAAGTGTCGACCCATCGAGGTCGAGTATCTTTTTGAAGTTATCCGCTGACAAGTTACTAGTTTTCAAATGATCGCATGCTCAAGTTTATTTTTTTCTCAAATTCATATGAAATATGTTGTGTTTTATGTGTCGCACAATTAAAATTTTGATGTCAAACTGTCCTCGGACGCGAAAATTCAGCCAGTTTTTACAGGCAGGGAAGACATGCCAGTTGCTTTTGACTTTTCTCAACAAGATCACGCGTTGGTCACGCTCTACGTCCAATTTTTACGCTCTGATTGGTCAAAATTTGACAGGTGAGTTCATGCGGAAAATTTATGCAGCGTCTTGAAACTTGTTTACTTTGACAGCTGAAGCTGACAGAGTTTTGTGTCAACTTGTGATGTTTCTAACTGTCTTTCTCCGCTGAATGTACAAAATGAAATTCTGTTGCTATCAAGAGTCTTCTGTTATTCATAGGTAGTTTGTTTATTGGGTTTTTGGTTGAGAAATACGTCGCTTGTCAAAAAGTCGGAAATCCGATTTCGGATGGAATCGTTTTCGTTTTTCACCTTGCTTGATGCGTAAGAGGGTTGAAAAGTCTGAAGCGATTTTGGCCTTACTTGATAGTTTTCAGAGCATCTCGAATGGTAAGCCTGAGTAATTATTGTATTTGATGTTTGTTTTTTATATCTAATTTAATGAAGTCGGGCGTAGTTTATGCGGCTATTTAGTTTATGCACGTTTGTAAGATTTGAGACAATGTGACCGAGTATCAGGTTTGATTATAAGCTTATAGAACTTTAAAAAGCCTTTAGACATTTTCTCATTGCAAATAGAAAGAAAACGTTCCAAAGAATATTTAGTTATAATTCTGGCTGTAAAAGAAAGCTTTGAGCGATTTTCTTGCCTCGAGTTCATCTTTGAAAAAAGCAAACGCCGTGAAGCCGGCTTAAAACATAAACAAGGATTTTCAGAGACACTTTTTACTTGTCTTCGTGAATGAAAATTGTTGTCTCTGTATATGTTTCACCGAATTATTATCCTTTTATTGATTGTTAGTAGTCTCTTTTGCAATTTTAATCGCTGTGCCGTTTGTTTTCAGTCGCTCACGAACATCGCTTGCAGGAGTAGTCAAAATGCCGCGTGTATCAAACGCTTTTGAAGATTACACATAGTTATAAAACCGTTAAATAAAGAAATAAACATAATAAATTTTTTTTATCCTGTTAAAACTTATAACTCTATTAATCTTGATTTAAACAGTGGACTTTGGCGCTTGTCAAAAGTGAGTCGAACCGGCAAACCGTATAGGTGATTTTAGAAATTTTTTTTACGGTTTCGGTAAAAGCTCATGCGTGCTTCGATCGACCTGAATGTTGAATGAGTACAATTTTTATTTCAAAATTGTGATCTGTCCGAGGTCTGTATGATAAAAACAGTGCCTCATGGTACCGTTTCACCTCAGATAAGAAGTATAAAAGGTTGGTTTAAACGTCCCCTGAATTGTTAGCAAGATTTTGTAAAATAAATTGTAAACTTGTCGAACGCAAAAAATTGGGCCTGACTTGTTTTCCGAGAATTTGTTTTCCAGGCCTAATCTACTGTGATCAAGAGCCATTATGGCTCTTGAATGTGATCGAAGATGATTGCTATTTTTTGGGTGTACATATAACGCTATCAACTCGATGGAAGATTAAGTTCACTCTTAGCTTGGACTGTTTGCAAATTATTTTTCTCTAAAATCACATAGCCTTTCCCTCAAAAGTCACACGAATGTGCTCTAAAGTTAACTGATTTGTAAAATACAATTGCAAGTTTATTGTTTGATTTAAATTATAAATTCGAGTTAATAGGAGCTTCGCTTTTAGCCCTGGCTAAATCTATATATTAAATAACTTAAAGCGGTGCTGTGATTTATTTGACAAACATGATGCCAAGTTGATAGGTGTCGGAAAGTTAACCGTACTTTGGAACCTCGGTTAATTAGTTTAATCTGCAGTACTTGAGATGCTGTTAGCGTTTCCTCAATTAAGCTGAAAGCGAGAAAATAGAACAATATCGATAAGAGGCGGTATCCGTAAAGAAACGGTGTTTTCCTATACTCTTTCGGTATAGCCACTGGGCACGATTTGAACTAGCTATAGGGAAAAGCTCACCGACATAAGCTATTGAGGAATATTATTCTCGTATTGTCTAGCTGTTAGTCTCACACGCCTTTTTCAGATAATAAAAGTGTTGGTAGAAATTTGAAATAAAAGGTCTAGGGATGAATCCAAGGGTGTGATAACAAATTGGATAAAAATATTTTTTATTAACTCGGCTCGAAAAGAACTTGTGAAGTAAGTTACGCGCCACTCGGATCTACCAACAGCTATCGAGCTACCATTATATACTTTGATTCATTCTTTTGTAACAGCAAAAGTTTTAGTATTAAGATAAGATTGTCTTTATTGCAGAACTGACAGTTGTTGATAAAATAGCGCTTCCAAGGCCAAGTAGCTAAAAGTTCCTTGTGATAGCAAGTATGGTACAAGTCAACGAATCAATGAACTAATTATTTAATTCGCCTAGAGCTGTATATATGAGGGTTTATATAAAAAATTAAAGGCTTTTAAAATCAGAAAATGAAGATGCGCTAGTTGAAGAAAAGAAAAAGAAAAACATAAAAACTTCAAATTACGAAGCATAACTGCTTTACAAAACACCTGATTTTGTCTGGATAGAAAGTTTTGATATCTCTGCGCAAATAATCTTCTTCTATTATATGCGATAGTTCTTGAGTGATTGATTCGTGCATTGACAGACGCATTTATCTGAAAACGACTCTCTTCGAAGCCAAAACGTCTCGTTAACGGCGCCGGAATAAGTTGGAATGTTTTTAATTCACTGTATTTAATGACAATTGACTGATTTTTAAGTTTCTCCGCCAGGGTGGGAATTCATGTCGTTTAGCTATTAAAGCTTATACCCTAAAGGGTCGGTTATAGGCAAGCGTTTTAAAGTATTCTAATTAATAAGTGAAGGTGCTAGCTGGAAATATTTCTTGAGGTATTTTTAATATAAAAGGCTAATGTAGTTTATAGATGATCTCCTGAGGGTTTTTGATATTGAATATCGACAAAATACGATTGCTTTGTCTCTATACCGAAATCTCTACGCATTTAAATCTAAAGCTGCTCTTAAAATGCAAAAAAATGTTATTTTGAAAAACAGTTACAAAACTCGCTATTATCCCTAATTTATATGTAAAAGGATATTCAGGATATTACAACCACTGTAACGAACAGGGCCTCAAACTAAGTTAAATTTTGATGGGCTGCGCTGAAAACCTTCGACTTCAACCTAAGAAGTCGCCTGTGGTTAAGAAATTGCTCAGCAGCGACTGAGAATAGTAGACACTCGGTTATACGTTGAATGGTTAAAAAGAAGTCGTTGTCTGGGTCAGTGATCTTCACCCAGGTGAAGACTCCTCACAGTGTGTAGTTTGCCATAAAAAAAAAAAAATTAACAAGTTGCTTGTCACCCTTTGATTTTATAACTTCACACAAGTGAGCTGATAGCAGCTCCCTAGCTTGCAGGAGAGGTGTTTGCAAGGCTCCCTTAAACCCTTACGATAATTGTCTTCCACATTTGTTCACTTCATAAATCAGGGCTGGAAGCCACACAACTGATGCAGGCCTCAACCTTATGAAGGCAAGTCGCGCAGGAATATATGTCTATGACCAAAACATGACAAGACAAGATATTTATTAAACTCCACTCAGTTTTACATGACATAAAGGTTAAATTTACATAGGCAACTAAACACAGTTCAATTACGGAATAAAAGAAAAATGTAACAACAAAATAGAGAGCGAGCTGGGATCATCCAAATAGCAAAGGCTAATCTGGTGGATGATCCGGTCTACATAAAGAACCTGGACATAACGAGCTGCACGGTCTTAGCAACCAAAAAAACCCCTCAGTATCCAGCTGAGATAGCTGAGTAAAAGTCAGCTATCTCAGCTGGATACCCAGTAGTTTGCAACATTCCCTATTCCCTTAATCTCTGATCGTATTTCGCATCTAATATGATAGAGGCGTCAATTTTCACGCAATCATGTCATCATCCTGGGGCGACAAATAAAATTAATTAAAAATGCGGTATCAAACAAAATGTCCGGAAAAAATAATTCAGTGCCTTCTAAAAAGAACATTTTAAAGTCTGCGGTCGATTTCATTGCCAACGTGTTATATATCCTAGAAGCGCTCAGGCATAATAACATCATGCCAGGACTTCTACCTGGGTGAACCAGAAAGGATATAGAACAACAGCCTAATTTTTTTTTTCGGCTACGGGTCGAAACGCTAAACGTGTTATATATCCCAGAAGCGCTCAGGCATAATAACATCATGCCAGGACTTCTACCTGGGTGAACCAGAAAGGATATAGAACAACAGCCTAATTTTTTTTTTCGGCTACGGATCGAAATGCTAAACGTGTTATATATCCTAGAAGCGCTCAGGCATAATAACATCATGCCAGGACTTCTACCTGGGTGAACCAGAAAGGATATAGAACAACTGCCTAATTTTTTTTTTCGGCTACGGATCGAAATGCTAAACGTGTTATATATCCTAGAAGCGCTCAGGCATAATAACATCATGCCAGGACTTCTACCTGGGTGAACCAGAAAGGATATAGAACAACAGCCTAATTTCTTTTTTTCGGCTACGGGTCGAAACGCTAAACGTGTTATATATCCCAGAAGCGCTCAGGCATAATAACATCATGCCAGGACTTCTACCTGGGTGAACCAGAAAGGATATAGAACAACAGCCTAATTTCTTTTTTTCGGCTACGGGTCGAAACGCTAAACGTGTTATATATCCCAGAAGCGCTCAGGCATAATAACATCATGCCAGGACTTCTACCTGGGTGAACCAGAAAGGATATAGAACAACTGCCTAAATTTTTTTTTACGGCTACGGGTCGAAATGCTAAACGTGTTATATATCCTAGAAGCGCTCAGGCATAATAATATGCCAGGACCTCAACCTGGATGAACCAGAAAGGATATAGAACAACTGCCTAAATTTTTTTTTTACGGCTACGGGTCGAAATGCTAAACGTGTTATATATCCTAGAAGCGCTCAGGCATAATAATATGCCAGGACTTCTACCTGGATGAACCAGAAAGGATATAGAACAACTGCCTAATTTTTTTTTACGGCTACGGATCGAAATGCTAAACGTGTTATATATCCTAGAAGCGCTCAGGCATAATAATAACATGCCAGGACTTCTACCTGGGTGAACCAGAGAGGATATAGAACAACTGCCTAAATTTTTTTTTTGCGGCTACGGGTTGAAATGCTAAACGTGTTATATATCCTAGAAGCGCTCAGGCATAACTATATCATGCCAGGACTTCTACCTGGATGAACCAGAAAGGATATAGAACAACTGCCTAAATTTTTTTTTACGGCTACGGGTCGAAATGCTAAACGTGTTATATATCCTAGAAGCGCTCAGGCATAATAACATCATGCCAGGACTTCTACCTGGGTGAACCAGAAAGGATATAGAACAACAGCCTAATTTCTTTTTTTCGGCTACGGGTCGAAACGCTAAACGTGTTATATATCCCAGAAGCGCTCAGGCATAATAACATCATGCCAGGACTTCTACCTGGCTGAACCAGAAAGGATATAGAACAACTGCCTAAATTTTTTTTTTTGCGGCTACGGGTTGAAATGCTAAACGTGTTATATATCCTAGAAGCGCTCAGGCATAATAATAACATGCCAGGACTTCTACCTGGATGAACCAGAAAGGATATAGAACAACTGCCTAATTTTTTTTTACGGCTACGGGTTGAAATGCTAAACGTGTTATATATCCTAGAAGCGCTCAGGCATAACTATATCATGCCAGGACTTCTACCTGGGTGAACCAGAAAGGATATAGAACAATGGCGTAAATTTTTTTTACGGCTACGGGTCGAAATGCTAAACGTGTTATATATCCTAGAAGCGCTCAGGCATAATTATATCATGCCAGGACTTCTACCTGGATGAACCAGAAAGGATATAGAACAACTGCCTTTTTTTCCTACGCGTCGAAGTTCTAAACGTGGTATTCTTAGAAGCGCTCATGATTTTAGCTGATTTTGCGGTGCGCAAGAATGGATAATTTACCCGACTTGTAAACAGATATTTCCTTCAGCCGATTGTGTCTCATGCAGGAGATTGTCATGTCTGCGTTGTTTTGTTTCCACTGAAGTTTTATCAAAGAAAGCTTAATAGGGAGATCGCAATTTATACTCTTACGAACTATAAATTAGGGCTGACCTGGAAGACGCGTTGAATTGTGCCGCCATCCTTCAAAATATAATCTGGCTGCGTTTAGGGAGACAATTTCCTCTTCCATCCAGATTTACTTGGTATATGTGTTTGCGAGAATCTTCAGACAAAGAATTGGGTATACACTGATTCGAATGGCTTGGCGATACTAAGTGCTTAAGTCTACTTACCAATTACAGCATGTTTTGGAAGTATTGAGAAGCGCGCCAAACGAGGTTGTCACAGCGTTCTCGAGCGAACACGACGCGACCTGGATTGATAAAATTACTTTTACATGCAGCTATCATGCCAGTGATTTCTCCTTTCGTCGCATAGTGAATAGTTTGTGAGCACATCCTCGACTCTCGAAACATTTGTCTTGCGCCGCTATAGAAGTTGCTTCTCCCGCGAACCATAGGTAGATTTCCCGCTTAACATAATGTTTGATAATTTATGCAAAAGTTGACCTCGTGAAAGTCAGCAGTGCATTAATCGACTCAAAAATAAACAGACTTCCTACAGGGTTTTGAACACGGTTTTAATTAAAGTACTTTACGAGCGCTGCGGTAGTTGACCGCAAAAGTGTTACGGTGATGGATACTCAACTGGATGATTACGTCACTTCATAGCAACCAGACGGTACGAATTTTTTAACTTCCGGAGCGCTGAGGCTCGTAGTGCTTCTAATCGCACCCTCAACTCAAAATTCA